TCACCTCTTACTCTCCAATCCTCTTTTCACACAGCAACCAGAGTAATCTTTTAAAATAGTAAAGCAGATCATGCCACTGCATTACTGAAACCCTTCAATGGCTTCCTATTGCAGTTAGAATAAAATCTAAACTATTTACAACAGACTGGCTTCCTCTGACTCTCCAGTGCCATTCAGTCCATTCCCCCCACTCACTGCAGCCCGGCCAGGCCTTCTGTTCCTCAAACATGCCAAGCGTTCTCCTGGCTCCAGGCCTCTCCACCTGCTGATTCCTCTGCCTGGTGCTCTCTGCCAGCTCTTTGCATGACTTGCTCTCTCAACTGTCAGCTTTAAACTCATACAGTCAGAATTAGAGATGCCTTCCCTGACCATCCTATCTTAGAAGGCCTCCTGCATTTAGCCTCTAATGCATCACCCAATTTGTTTCATTGTTATCCCTTATCCAATCCACAGTTATTTTGTGTATTTGTTTACTTGTTAGCTGTCTTTTATGGCTGGAAGGTGAGCATCACTGGGCTACAGCCTTCGTCTGCCTTTATTGCTATATCCTTACCCCTTGCATGGTGCCTGAAACAAACGTACGAGACATTTATTCGTTCAATATCTGCTGAATAAATAAATAGGTCTTCTCTAATGGATCTCTTCTAATCATCGCTTTTTCATCAAAAGAAATGAGAAGCTAAACCAGAGTTCATAATGGGAATAACAAGTGCTTAACACAGGACATGTATGATGGTTGGCTGACTTCCAGGAAGGGGTATGTCAGGGGAGTCAACTTGGTAGCAAAAAAAAGGAGCAATTATGATTGGCTGAGAGTAGAATGTAGTGGAAAATACCATCGCTATCATTTGCCCAATAGCTATTTGGAGTGCCACGGCTATAGACACCTCAGGGACTCTTGAGACAAGGCACTGGAAGTGAAGGTGACCCAGTCAGTCAAGGTAAAATGCCTCTTCTTGCAAAATCAGCATCACATGCCAGGGCTGAGGTGGTTCTCACTGTTCTTTTAAATTCCCATTTCTCTTTACTTCCTCTCCCACAGGCCTCGTGTATTCAAACCAACTCTGATTCATCTCTTCGGGGTTCTTTAAAGCACTTGTTAACACTTATTCTCTCTCTGTGTATGTGTGTATGTACAGGTGCTCCTTCACTCACCATGGGATTTCATCCCAATAAACCCATTATAAACTGAAAATATCCTAGGTGGAAAATGCACTTAATGCATCCAACTTACCAAATCTCATAGCTTAGCCTAGCCTACCCTAAATGAGCTCAGAACACTTACATTAGCCTACAGTTGGGCAAAACCATCTAACACAAAGACTATTTTATAATAAAGTTTTGAATATCTCATGTAAATTATTATGCATATTGCTTTCAGACCATCGTAAAGTTGAAAAATTGTAAGTCGGGACTGTCTATGAGTATATATACACACACATACATATATATTTGTTGTTATCGTTGCAGAAACTTTTGAAAGCAGGTGGCTGACATGCTGAGTGATTTTCAAACAGCAAACACTTAAAGAAAGAGGATGATTGTGTAGGAAACAAATGATACTCAAATATAAGACACTGACCGCAAAGATGTGGAAACTATTATCCATAATCAGGGCTATTATGAGCAGAATAAGTGAAGCTAGTTCCTCCTCCTTTCTACCACAAAGTCATTATTTTGCAAAACATTTTGAAAGCAAATTGCTGACATCAAGACACTTCACCCCTAAATACCTCTACCTGTACCTCCTAAAATTCTCCCACTTAACCTCAATACCATTATCACAGCTAAGAAAATTAACAATCATTCCCTAATACCATCTAGAACACAGTCTGTATTCAAATTTCCAAGCATTCCTTTTTGTGGAAGTCTCACTCCACATGATATCAAATAGATTAAAATGTACTCACAGTAGTTTTTCTGGAAAAATTTTTAAAAATAATTTAGCTACAAGTAAACCATTTAATTTGTAATCAGTTTCTCAGCAATCATGGTATGTATGGTCCTTTGGAAGCGAAATAATCTAACCTACTAATTGATTTAAAATATAATTAGTTTGTGGCAAGGATGTGGAGAAAAGGGAACCCCTGTGCACTGCTGGTGGGATTGCAAATTGGTGCAGCCACTATGAACAATACAGAGGATCCTCAAAAAACTAAAAATAGAATTACCATAATCCAGCAATTCCACTTCTGGGTATTTATCCAAAGAAATCCAAAACACGAATTTGAAAAGATACATGCAGCCCTATGTTCACTGCAGCGCTATTTACAATAGCCAAGATATGGAATCAACCAAAATGCTCATTAATAGATGACTGGATAAAGAAATTGTGGTGCATGTATACAATGGAATATTACTCTGCCATAAAAAAGAATAAAATTCTTACCATTTGCGACAACATGGATGGACCTAGAGGGTATTATGCTGAGTGAAATAGACTGATAAAGATAAATACCATATGATCTCACTAATATGTGGAATCTAAAGAACAAAAATAAATAAAACAGAAACAGACTCATAGATATAGAGAACAAACTGATGGTTACCAGGTGGGAGGGGGTTGGGGAGCTGGGTGAGAAAGGTGAAGGGATTAGGTACAAATCGGTAGCTACACAATAGTCACGGGGATGTACAGTATGGGGAATACAGTCAGTAATATTGTAGTAACTATAATATGTATAGTGCCAGGTGGGTACTAGGCTTATCTGGGGATCACCTCATAAATTACAAAAATGTCTAACCACTATGGTGTACACCTGAAACTAATATAAATACCAAATGTCAACTATAATTTTAAAAACTACATAATTCATTTTTATGAATATTAATATTTTATCGGTTAATAGCATAATTTTTAGTTTGTAGACATTTGTTTCTTAATTTTATTTTCATATTCTGAGGTCAATCCCTTTTTTTTGTTCAGGTCTCAAAAATTTTCATAGGTCTTCAGAAAGCGCCTTGGTCCTAGGCTTGGCGCAGAAGCTGCCTACTGGATAGCTTGCTGGGGGGCAGGAGATAGGAGAGGGTGACTCAGCATGTGGCCTCCAAAATAAATACAGATTTTAACCCCAGGACCTCCCTCTCCCTGAGGCAGCTGCCATTGCCTGAGTTTCAAAACCTGGATTGAAGTGAGGAGTCCTTGAGGCTCCGAGAGAACCAAAAGGGTGAGAGATAAAAGCTGCTTTTAGGAGACAACAGTTTCCAGCCTGTGAATCCCAGTATTCATGAGTCACCTCTGAAGGAAACAGGCTTTAAGACAGTAACCAGATGTAATCTGAGCAAAACCTCAGAGCTGGTCAGAAACTCTAGATTAGGGCACCCGGTTTGGAAGAGTTTGGTGGCTTTTTGTTCATTTTGTTTCTGCTGTAGGGGATATCTGAAATCGAGTATCTAATTTGAATTCAATTCATAAGATCGAAAGAGATTCTAACTGTAGGAAAGTTTGGGATGATGATCCCTATAAGACAAAATACAATAGAAAATGGAGTTTGTATTAGAAATTACTTTGTCAGTTGAAGAAATAAGTCCTACTTATGCTTCTAAAAGGATTTCATTAGCATAAGTCAATCTAATGACAACTGTCTCACAGCATAAAAGGGGCTAGCATTATTATTGGCCCCATTTTGCAGACAGGGAAACTGAGGCTGAGAGATGTAACATGGCTTATAGAGGTCTTCCTGAGATTCAGCAGGTAGAACTGCCCTGATACAAGAGAAAAAGATGAAGACTTTTTAAGCTCATTCCCTTTTTTAAATTAAGAATTGCTGCTTTGCTTTTTTAAGCTTAGAAAAGGAGTTAAAAGCAGAGTGACTTCATTTTTACTTTCATGTAACAAAACTCCCAGAAGACACATGTTCTCGGCAGAGTCTGGAGGCAATGTTGCTGTAGCATCATGCTGGGCATGAATTGCTCATTTTCACAAAGCATGACTCAACCATCACATCAGGAATTTTTTTCCCTCTTGAAACCTCTTGGAGCCAACTTGTGAAAGAATCAAGAGGAATCACTTAAGGATATGAGTGATTGTCAAATGGCAAACACTCTGGGAAAGAGGGTGGCTGTGGAGGAGACAAATGACATTCAAATACTGGATACTGACTACGAAGATGGGGAGACTATCACATGCAATCAAGGCTTCTAGGAGCAGAATTAAGGAAAGCAGTTCCTCCTCCTCCCACTGTAATATCCTAGGGAGGAATGGAATAAAAGTGGTAGGCTTAAAAAGGCTTCGTTATTTTGAAAACCTTGATTTAACACTTCATGATCTGTTTCTAAATCCAGTTTATGTTGATACTTGTTTTGTTTTTAACTTTGACAGTCATTAAATACAACTCACAAAGACTCTTGGGTCCAAATAGAAGAACATCATCCACCGGGTTTATTAAACCTGGTGTCAAGTTTTCAGTTCCACCCACCAGCTACACAAAGGTTTTTAGTGGAATTCATTTGCTAGATTTCCACCTCCCCGATTCATTCTTGCAAACTACGATGCTGCATTTACACTTTAACAAATTGATCCAAAGTCTAGGGTAAGTCTTAGTTTGGAATATTTTTGAACACAATGGAAAATTCTAACTTTTGCTTTTTATTTATGCTGAAATAAGAGCATGTATGAGGGTGAGCGAAGCCCATCAGATGGAAACATTTCCAAACATCCAACAGGAAGAGATAGTTTGTTTGTTTGTTTGTTTTGAGGGCGCAGTTGAAAGTGGCCCATGCGGGAATCGAACCAGCCACCTAGTTGTTCAGAGCGCGCGCTCTAACCGAGCCACCTGGCCGCCCCTAGTGTTTTTGTACAAATAACTCTTAAGTTAAGTAGCATATTCCTTGCTATAAAATATATTCCAGATACATTACAGAAATGGTCAACAATTTGAATGACCATTTTGTCATTCACTTTGTAAAAGAAAAATGTGTTGCACATCTTTCAGTTTGATAAGTCATAAACTCTGCCATGAGATAACCAGTAAATCATCTGAATGGTACCAATCGAAATATAATTTCTTTATGGCAAAGCTGGTTTATTGAAGTTCATGAGGGAAATGTTACAGTGACACCAGTCTACCACAAAACTATTTAACTTTAGTTTAGATTTCATGAGGAAACATATTAGCAGTATACTGTCAATAAAGCATCATAATTAATAGCTAACTACATTAGATTCTGGATTAGCTTCCTTTGTTGTTCTCAAATTAAGACTTCTCCAGATATATATGTTTTCAATTAAAAGGTCACAGTTAAAATAAATTCACACATGAGTTACAAAATGTATTTGTGCTTTAAAAATTAATAATTAGTTGTTTGATAGCCACCATTTTGGAAGTGATTTCTCAACAGTCATGAAGTGTTTTTATAAATATTTTAGAAAGTATCTAAAAGCTTTATCCCCATTCAACTAATATGTATGCTCTTTTTAAAAATAAAAACATACATAGAAAAAGTTAAAACAAATCATTACAAAGATACAAATATTTTTAAATTAATAAATATTAAAGTGAAAAAATAAATCCTTTCACAGAACTGTAAAGGATAGTTAACTACTAACTTCTTACAAAAAGAAAGTTAAATTCCTTTTTAAAAAACCATTAACACTAGCACTGAAAAAAACATAAATGTGCTTGGAAAGTCTATAAACTTTCTTCCCTCACTTTAGAAAATGTTTTGAAAAGCAATAAACAGATTCCCTTCTTTTAAAAAAGTGTTACATCCATCACAATTATTACAGCTGTCACTGTTTTACTACAAAAATAGTTACAAATCAATATTAATTTGGATAAAGTCAAATCATTTTTAATTCTAGCATTAAGAAAAATGGATTAATCTCCCTAAACACAAGCCAAATTGTTTTTCCTTAATCTCTAATATTTAAAACTGAATAATTATTTTCTATAATTATTACTTGCAGTTAGTTCAATTAATAGAATTATCTTTTATAATTAAATTATCCAGTTAGGACCATCATGATGATAAAACAAAAATCCCAAACTAGATTAGATACATGTTTAATTTGTTTCCTACATTCTGAGAATACTATAAGTACAATCACCTTTTGGCTTAATTTCCTCTAAAATTGCCAAGGACAGCAATCTATCAGAGTTAGTGTGCACACTTCAGTGAAAGTTCATGGCTTACTTCCGCTCATGTAATAGCTTCATAAACAGGCTTACTAGTTCTCTGTGCAAAGTCTTAACTTCAAAATAAAAGTGGGATAAAAAACTTTTTGAAATATTCTTTCCACCACTGAGGGATAGACAAGATATTTTTCAATATCTAATTTGTTTTTCATACCGAGGAGGAAGGAATAGCATGTTGTGGCCATAAAATATAAAGATTTTAAAAATTGATGTACTGTAACACAACACTATTACAGATATATGGAAACTCATAGCAATTAGAGGTCTGTCCTCAGAGCTGCAATCCAAATGGAACATGATTTGTTAATTCAGCCTTTAGTCATTAAGTTGATTGGGTGTGAGAGCGAGCAAGAGATACTATGCCAGATACACATCCAGAAATTACTAAAAGCTAAGAATATGTCTCCTGTGGTAGCCAGGAACCACGTTTACCTATTTTCCCCCTAGTTACAACTCCTTATATATTTTCAATTTGTTTTTCACTGTTTCAAGATATCATAATAAAATATAAAGCACCTTATTATGTCATTTCATTTGCATTAAAATTTGACTTATTTTGCATATTTTAATAGAATTTACTAAGAAAACAATTCAAATTACTCTTCTAAAAGTAACAGTTTTTATAGACTTGACTGATTAAAAATATCGAGCATCACAATCTGTTGGGAAAGTCATTCTTTATGGACTGAGAACCAGGACACATTTGATGCCTTCTCCTCCACTAAAACTAAAGTCTTAGCTCTAAAATGTACCAAAATAGTAACGCAATTAAATACATTAATACAAAGAAAGAACTCTAAGGAGAGGCAAGTACCAGTTTTTATCCAATCGAGAACACTTTCCCATTCAAAGGACATACCATTAAGTGTGTACTGAACCCTTAATATTTTTTTTCAATTACAGGAACACAGGACTGAACAGTCACTGACTTAAAACTCCATCAGACTCTTATTTGGAGCCCCCTTCACTGGGTTCTCAATGGAAAGATGTTCTAATTCATCCTGCCTTGGCTTCATTTTCAACCTCACCTGAAAACCAACTTTTTCCTTGTGTTGTCACAGTGACAAACTTGACTAAGCAAACACAAAATGCAAAAGTGAGCATGATGATGACAAACAGTAAAGTATCAGGATGACTCATTACATTTGAGATTAAATCTTATGACTATCACTGTCATACTTCCAAAGTATTTCTTCAGTCAAAATTAAACAGTATACTAAAGACTGTTATTTAGCACCAGCACGTCACTGCAGGCTTTGGTTCAGGCTTCAGGGTAACTCCATTATCAGGGGGTTGACTAAGCATTAATGGTTTGTGGCTCTTAAGCTTATGAGCCAAGGTCATAAATATAGCTTCCACGTGGTCATTATCATTAGGATTTTTAGCAGAGGTTTCAAACAAAGGCATACTGTGTGTGTCAGCAAATTTCTGTGCCAAGTCTGTAGGTACCTGAATGGCACTTCTTAAGTCACATTTATTTCCAACGAGAATCCGTGGTATATCATTGGCTAACAAATGTTGTTTGCATTCTTCTATCCAAGATGGCAGGCTATGAAAACTAGCCATGTTGGTCATATCATACACGAAGACAACAGCATGAACATTTCTGTAGTAGTGCTGTACCATGCTCTTTCTGAATCGTTCTTGTCCTGCTGTGTCCCATAGCTGGATCTGAAAATGGAAAAAAAAAAAAAAGTGAGAGGAAAACTGCTTCCAATTATTCATATTGAAATTTTGACTCACCTTTACATGGTCTACAGTGCCTCTTCACTCATATTACTTTGTTCCCTTCCATAATGCCGCTTCGGTGTTAGTTATGGGATCCAGACTCCATGATGCTAGTCCAGCTACCTCACAATTAATGCAAGTATCAGAACAAATATTTCAACTTAGCATTTAAATTTTAGTAAATCAAATTTGTCTGGATAAAATTATGCCTCAAAATTTAATTTTAAAATATTAAGAGAAAATGATATTAGGTTTTAACAAACTTAAGTGTCTAATTCCTATAAATTTAGTTACTATATGCCCTTCTCTACCTGTCACAAGTCTAATTTAAAACAGCAGACTTAGGACAGATGTTAGAGTCATGAGGTTTAGCCCCCAACATAAATATATACATATATATATATATATATATATATATATATATATATATATATATATACACAGTCTATGAAATCCAAGCTCCCTTGAAAATTTTAAAAGATTAGAAAATC